AGTCCTGGGAGTACACAGCACACTGGCAAAGGGTATGTGCCCAAGAGTTAATAATAATGGTGGTGCTTCTTACTGGTCAAATTGTGGTGAGTAATATCGTTACTGTGTTGACTTTGGTGTAGATACTTAGGGATGCCAGGTGTAGGAAGTATGAAAGACAACATTTTGCAGGTAAAGGGGGATGTAAACCCAAAAGTTCAAAAACCACTGCTCTAGAGCACTTCTAGGAGACTCCACACCTCCACTTTTCCTCCCTGCTGTTACCCAGTCTCTACAAATGAGATTCTCCAATTTTTAACAGCTCATTCATGAAACTATTTATGAACTGGCAGCCTGAATTAGTGCACTAAGGAAAATGAATTAAACCTAACAGCAGCTATAAAAAAGTATCTTCAGCTGTACAATTAAAATGGAGCAGAAGTCATGACTTCTTTCCAGCACAAGTTTACTGAGCGGCACAACCAAAATGTGCATCCATTATTCAAAATGTTTGAACCTCTTGTATTTACATCACTAAATCAGTGAAATATAACATTAAGGAAGTGTGGGTTTCCAATCCAGCAGCTGAAGTGGCTTCGTTGATAGTTAGTGAATGGACTTTTGTTAGCTTGACAATATAGTATTAAGGAGACTCCTCAATATGGCTGATAACATGGAAATTTGACGTTGTCATAAAACATGATGAATCCATTGCTGTACATTCTATTGAAAACCTTTCTGCCTATTTAAAATCACCTGACATCAAAATACAAAACCTCCTCTTTTGTCAATCTATGCCTGCCTGCACCAAAAAAACAAATAACCCTCAAATATTGGATAGATTAGTGACAAAAAAACAAGTTTTAAACAACAGAGGAGTATGAAGATCTGCAAATACAAAGGATGAACAATGACTGGAAAGCATAGTGGTACATAAACAAAATACTCTGGTGTCCTTATAACTCAGGGGCGGGCAATTATTTTGGCTGGAGGGCCACTTAATGAGTTTTGGTGAGTTGTAGAGGGCCATATGGGTAGCCCCACATCTTGACAGTTGCCCCGCCCCCTGGTCACCATATTGGGATCTGAAGTCCCACCCCCTAATCCCTTGCCTTTGCCATAGGAAGTCCCTCCCCTTGCCCCCCCCATATTTTAATTTTATTACAAAAAATATTTGTCATGATTTATGTTTGTGTATTGTATATGGAGGGGATTGCATAATAGCTCAATAATAAAGTCTTACTCCTGTATATTGGGTGTGAGAGGTGTGGAGCATGTGTGTGTATGGTGAGGAGTATGTGTGTGTATGGTGGTGTGTGTGTGGGTTTGTGAGGGGATGTGGTTGTGTATGTGGGGGCGTAGGGTATGTTGGGAGGTGTATATATGGGGAAGTTGTGGGGGCAGGGTGTGGGTATGTAAGTTCTGTGGGGTGTGAGGGAGGGTGGGGGAGCATGGGGGGGGCCCCCACACACTCCCTCACATGGCACACAGCCTGCTATGGGCAGCAGCAGTAGGCAGGGGCATTTGCGGTCCAACGCAGGTGCTAGTGCCCAGTGGCATGCAGCTCTGGCTAACACTGTGTGTGGGGGTGAGGAACACAGCCTGCCTGGCCGACCTCTATCCCAGGGGCTCTGTGCAGCTTGCCTGCAGCTCCTGCACTTGTGCAGCACTGGGGGAAGCCCCATGCTGGAGCTTGCTGCCTTCCCTGCTGTGCAGGTCCCTGGACTCTGTGGGGAATCAGTGGCTGGGGTTCCCCTCCACTTCTGGCAGTGTCCTGGGAGCTGCATGGCAGGAGGAAGGGAAGTCAGCTGGCTGCAGTGCAGGGCTTCTCCTAGTGATGCGCGAGCGTGGGACTTGCAGGTGTGCCGCACAGAGACTCCATGATACAGGTGGGCCGGACAGGCTGTGCTCCTTGCCCCCAGACGCAGTGCTGGCTGGAGCTGTGCACCACTGGGTTCCAGTGCTTGCACAGGGCACAAGCACCCCAAGTGCCCTTGCCTGCCTACTGCTGCCCACAGTGGGTGCTGTGCGCCACATGGGAGAGTGTGGGGGGGTCCCCACACCATGCCCACCTGAGCTCCACACTCCCGCTGCTCTTCTAGGCGCGGGGTCCATGCTGCTGCCAGCCCCACACTGCCTGCTCCCACCCAGCTGCAGCAGCCCCCTGCCTCACCCCTTGCCTACCTGCTACCTGGAATGAGTGGGACACTGGAGAAGCAGAGCAGGTCCTCTGGGGCGGCTGTAGCAGCAGCAGCACAGCCCTGCCTGGAACCTGCTGCTGGCTGGGCCAGGCCTTTCTGCCCACGAGGGTGGGAGTGAGGCGCAATAGGGTATATTGGTGGGGGGAGGGGTGTATATGTGGACACCTTGCTTCTGCCCTTGTGGGCAAAAGGGCTAAGTGGAGTACATTTTGTTGGTGGGTGCCCACGGCCCAGATAGAAATGTCTGGCACGCCTGATCCAGCCCATGGGCTGTATTTTGCCCACCCCTGCTATAACTACTCAAGCATGTTGAGACAAAGGCTTCATGGTGTATTGTGTAAAGGCCACAGACTTGAGAACTGTTATGGAGAGGGGCAGTAATAGTTAACTTTATTATTATTCATGTTCTACTTTAGTTGAAGGTGAAAATGGAATGTGAAACCGTTCTTTTGGGAAGCAAAATAGTCCTTTATTGCAGCAAGATTGAAATCACTTAATGTAAGTTCTTCTGGTACTCCTTGGCTTTTCCTGAGCTCATTTAATTTTCCTATAGGTTTCTTTTGGTTGAAAATCTTGGTACATCTAACAGTTTTCCTAAATAAAAAGAACCTTAATCCTATTTTAGAATTTAGCATTCACACCTTCACTAACCCCTGCGTCTCCACACATGCATGAATACAGGCAGGGCACACCGACTCTAAAGTTGGAGAACTGTTCTCATTCTCTTCAGAATGGTCTTGCTGGTCTGCCAAGTGGAAACCAAAATAAATAGCTACCTACAATGTAGGGGTGGGCAATTATTTTGACTGGAGGGCCACTTAATGAGTTTCAGTGTGCTGTTGAGGGCTGTAAGGGTAGCTCCACCCCTTGACAGGTGCTCTGCCCCCTGGTAACTAATTTGGGACTGGAAGTCCCACACCCTCACCTTTGCCACTGGATGTCCTTCCATTTGTCTCAGAAGTACTCCTTTTCGGAGGAGGGGTGCGGTCTTGGAACCAGAAGTCACACCCTGTCTCATGGTTTATGACCTAAGACCCACCCACACAACACCAAACCTTGCTCTGCTTGCCATGTTGGTCCTAGAATCCCCTTCCCCCATCACATGGTCTCCGACATCAGAAGGTCCACCCCTTGTGTGAGAAACACTGCCCCTCCGCAGGGCCCACCCTCACAGTGCATGGACTACCCTTGGGTCCCCAATTCTGGCCCACAGGCTGCAAAGCACAGGCACAACACCTACCAAGTAATGAGAGGTTGTGACTCCTCTAACACCCTGCACCATCATCCTCAACCAGGCAGTGGGGGTTTCAGGGACATCAGATCTCCCTGAGCATGGTGCAAAACCAATCTAGTCAAGGGCTGCACACACAATCTTTCAGAAGAAATTATTTTAACACAGTATGGATAAAAAAATCATATACTAAAAATCAAACATCTACCATAAAAGAGACATATACAATGACGAATGGATTAGAAATGCATTAGTTCCAAGTCTATCTTGTAAAGATGTAGCTTGCTTACAAGATGGCAAACAGTGTTCAGCAACAGCCATGAGAAACTCTACAAGGAAAGAGACAATCACAAAGAGGTAGGGCAGGAAGGAACCTCCAATGGTCTAGTCCAACCCCTGCCGAAGGCAAGATCATCCCCATCCAAACCATCCTAAACACTCTGTAATCTAAACTCTGTGTGTAGACCACCATCAACCCTGGCAGACCCAACAGCCTAACCCGCCAGGCAGAAAGCAGAGGAACCGCAGCTTATATCCTGCTTCTATAAAACGGTGTCAGGATGTGCTCAACCCGCCACGCCTGCCCCCACAGAGGGAGGCAAACCCCCCCCAGGCTGCACCAACGTGACCACGGGGTAACAATTCCTTCCTGACCCCAAATACGGCCACCATCAGCCGGGCACGACCCGCTTCCCAGCAACCTCTGGCTGCGGTCCCGGCAGAGACAAAGTCTCTGGGAAGGCTTAAAGACACCCTGACCCCTGCAGCAGCCAGAGGCGGGGAAGCAGCAAAGCCCAGCAGCACTGGAGAGACCCCACGGCAGAGCACAGGCACAGGCACAGGCACAGCCACACCGTCGCCCACCCTCCTCCAGTGGGGGCCCG